TAGGAAAATAAAAGCTAAAAGCTAAAAGCAAAAAGTTATATCCTTATAGGTTAAAATCTGACTTACCATGGTTGACATGGCCAACGAGCGACACATTCCGTATATTATGTTTGTTTTCCATTATCAATTGCATCCGTTCCACCGAGCATGTCCCCTTTTTACTACAATATGAGGCAATAAATCATTACAAAACCCAAAACTTTCATTTCTCCAATAAAAATCAATTAGGAATACTAAACTTGAGTTTCTCACCTATCCATATTTCAGCAACAACGCATTAGATTCTGTTCTTCTACAATTATACTCTTCTACACCACAAGAACACAGCCAGAACAGTATTTATAATCACGATAAAGAAAAAAATAGTCTTTGTGTGAATAAATGACTCGTTCTCACCCGTGATGATGTGATGGCCGGGTGGTGGCCGATCGAGATGTTGGTCCGAATCTTGCCCTAATTTCAGAATGACGCTGAATTCTTGAAAATAGACAAATTTTATCCCAATTTTCGGGAAGCCGGAGCTGACCGGCTCTAATATGAATTTGCAAACACCAGGTCGAGGAAAGAAAAATTTAAAAATCAGCAAAACTAAAATAATGGGTAAAACTGGATTCTTGGTTGACATCTTGAAGTGGCAGCAAAAGGTAATGAGTTCGACTTTCCGCGATTGAGTTATTTGTAGCGATGAAGGCCTTCTTTTTTTTTTTTTGTTGGTGCCAGGCTTCTGGAGTTGGAGATGGATAACAGATGAAAGAAGGCAATGTGCAGGTTTTTCCAACTTAGCTGCGAATGTTGTAGGCACCGCCCTATTTTTGGGGCCATGGAGAAAATTGGACAAGGCCTCTCTTCAACACATACATTTAATTAAAATGAAAAATAATAATACACAAACACATAAAAAAAGAGTTTGGGAATCAAATAATGAAAATAAAACACCAAAATTATAAAGTATAATCGAAAAATATAACGCCTTGGATAATGATCTTCAAACCCAAAAAAACCTAATAATTGTAGTAGATCTCTCGGTTGGGTGTTTCACTTTCGCAAATAAATAGAAGAATCAATTGAAGACTGAAAAGAAAGGCTTAATCATCGAAGTCGTTGCACCAAATTGTTTATCCGCTACACTCAAAAAATTTTCCGCCCGTTAGAAAGTACAACTTGGAAATAGACGCAAGGAAAAAAGAAAAGCAAAGCACAGTGCTATAAAGATGGAGAGGAGTATAGTGCACATTGGTGTTTACGTGACGGAACTCTTTCTTCCCAAGTATCCTTGTCGTCATCTTAGCCTACCACCTTTATACTTTTTTTTTCTTTCCCTACCATCTTTATCTGAGCGTGGGAAGTTATGTGGAAATGTTGGATGAGGAATATTGATGGAAAAATTATTTTGATATTCTCTCCACTTGCCTTTCCCATTGCTTCCAATTCCAAAAGAAAAAGTGACTTTGATTTTTTTTATTGCTTATGATTATTTCCTTGAGGCAGGACTAATTTGACTTCAATTGGACTAATTCGAGGTCGATTACACTATAATTGACCGAGATTGTACTAATTCGACTTCAATTGGACTAATTCGAGGTCGATTATACTATAATTGACCGAGATTGTACTAATTTGACTTCAATTGAAATCCGTTTTATCCGTTTATAATTTCTTTTTATTTTTTATAATCCATTTTTATTTTTATTTATTATTTATNCCCCTGCTCTATGGGCTCAAAATTGCACGTGTCCGGCACGTGGCAGTTTATTTGGACTTCAACTTGGGCGGTTCTGCGAACCCCACACGACGACGTCTTTTTTGCTCTGTTGATTCAAAACGCAAGAAAAATTGACATGTTCATAGGTCGAGTCGGCCCGATCAAGCTCGTTGGCCATGGGCCTTGAACTGACCCGTGTTTTACCTGAGTTGAGGTTCACGTGTTCTGCACAAATTGAACCTCCGGTTCCAGATCGGAACCGACGGTTCGACGAATTTAAAACTTAAATTTTTTATTTTTATTTTCTAATTTGCATGGTCTTGAAAATCGGACAGAACCGGCCGGCTCGACCGGTTTAATTGGGAACCGGCCATAACACCTGTCTGGTTTGGGATATTAAACCGCTAGGTAGTGCTGTTAAATTAAACGAGTCTGGCTGCCGTTAAGGCTCGAGTTCGAAGCCTTAACGAGTAGAGCTCGAGCTCATTTAAAGCTCGTTTGGTCAACAAGTCGAGCTCGGCGCGGCTCGATAAGGCTCGAAAAGTAAAATTTATATAATTTTTTATAGTTCGACTCGTTAAAGCTCGAGATCGGCTCGTTAAGGCTCGAGCTCGAGGCCTTAACGAGCTGAGCTCGAGCTCGATTTTTGGCTCGAGCTCGGCTCGAACTCGGCTCGTCTACAATCCTGCCGCTAGATAAAAAAACCGGTCATGAGCCGTACGAACCAGTTAGAAACCGGTAAACCGGTCACGGTTCATCCAGTTTGGTGGTTTTCAATTTGGATTTTGGACACTTTACATGAGAAAATAACTAATCGTTATGTCACTAACAGTAATTAGGCGTGTGGTCTATTGGCGTATGTTGGTTTCTATGTTAAAGGTTCTCTTTTTGGATTCATTAAGACTACTCACTATAATAATCCCTCACAACCCAACCCAACTCAACCTTTTAATATAATACTCATTTCTCTCTCCTCCACCTATACAACCCACAACCCAATTTTATTTTTACTCACATCAATGACACCATCTCAACCCAACCCAACTCATCTTAATATTTTCTTTTTGTTTTATTTTTAATTAAATATTATCTATAATATTTTGTATTAAATTTAAAATTCTACACAAATACATATTAAAATATTTTATATTTTAATATTCGCAATTATAATTTTAAAATATTATCGTCCACATTAAAGGTTGATTTTTTTTCACTCAATAACAAAATAGATATTACAAGATTTGGAATATAAAATTAAAAAAGATAAACTCAGATATAGATAGATGCATGAAATACATATTACTACTACGAAAGAAGTGCAAATTACATATCTAATTATAATTTCTAAATTTTTGCCATATATGCTCGATCAAGTCATTTTGAAGAGCACGATGAGCTTGTCTATTACAAAGTTGATCCCTATTAATCATATACTGGGACAGACTTGAAATGCGTTGTGTAGAGTAGTTGAGTTCAACATCGTCTGATTGTAATATTGTGGATATATCCACAAGAAATTCTGTGGGATCATAGTAGTTTTGGTATGTTTCTCGTTCATCCTCCACTATCATATTGTGCATAATGATACAAGCCATCATTACTTTCCCCATTGTTTCCTTGTCCCAAAGAAAACACGGACGTCGAAGAAATGCAAAACGAGCTTGTAGAACTCCAAACGCTCGCTCAACATCTTTCCTTGTAGCCTCTTGGTGTTGAGCAAATAATTTGTGTTTTTCGGTCTGCGGAGCAACAATTGACTTGACAAATGCAGCCCACGAAGGATATATGCCATCAGTGAGATAGTATGCTCTATCATATTGACGACCATTCACTACATAATTCACTTTTGGCGATCGACCTTCTAACACATCATTAAACACAGGAGATTTGTGTAGTACATTGATATCATTGCACGAACCTGGTGTACCAAAGAATGCATGCCATATCCATAAATCATATGATGCAACAGCTTCCAAAATAATTGTTGGACTTCCACTTTTCACTGTATATTGCCCAGCCCAAGCAGTAAGGCAATTTTTTCATCCCCAATGCATGCAGTCAATACTACCAATCATGCCTGGAAAACCACGATGTTCCCCAACATGGAGTAATCTTGCCAAATGTTCTTCATTAGGCCTTCTCAAATAAGGTTCACCGAAGCAGGAAATAATTCCTTCAATGAAATGTAAAAGAGAATTTCTTGTCGCTGTTTCTCTCATTCGTAAGTATTCATCAACAACATCAGATGATACGCCATATGCAAGTACCCTCATTGCTCCAGTACATTTTTGTAGGGCTGAAAGACCTTTTCTGCCTGTGGCATCACGCCTTTGTTGAAAAAATTGATCATTGGCAGTGATGGTATCCACTATACGAAGGAATACAGATTTCCGCATGCGAAATCTACGTCGAAACATCTCTAGAGTGTAAGTCGGCCTCTCCACAAAATGGTCTTCCATCAAACGCTGCTCACCAATCTCCCGTTCCCTATTGCAATACCTCCTTCTGGTTGTAGGTCCAGGATTGCCTACAATCATATTTGGATTGCTTATGATCATTTCCTCAATCATCCTATCAATTTCACGATTTTCGTGTGTAACTCGTTCTTCCCAATCATCAAATTCGGTGATGTGGAAAGAATTAGAGCTTGAATCTGAATCTTGACAGAAACTGGGGAAAAATGGGTGCTGGCCCACTACCATGAAGGACACCATGAAAGAAGGAAAAAGCTCATATGAAGCCCAAATGGGGTTCCATCCCAAAACCAATTGGTGGAAGGAGGAGTAGCCCATTAGTCTTATAAGGTGGGTCTATTTTCCATGTATGAACGATGTGGGACAACTCATAAGTGATATTCTAACACGCCCCCTCACTTGTGAGTCCTTCGAAAGGCCAAGCCCAACTGGTCTGGGTGCCCCAAGCCCTACTACAAACAGGCTCCCATAAACGGATACGTGGGGGATAAACAATGGGTACGTCATCACACGGTCCAAGATAGAACCGACTCTAATACCATGATAGAAACTGGGGGAAAATGGGTGCTGGTCCACTACCATGAAGGACACCATGAAAGAAGGGAAAAGCCTATAGGGTTCCATCCCAAAACCAATTGGTGGAAGGAGGAGTAGCCCATTAGTCTTATAAGGTGGGTCTATTTTCCATGTATGAACGATGTGGGACAACTCAAAAGTGATATTCTAACAAATCTGTTGAGGAGTTTTCATTAAGAGACATGTTGTGTAGGAAAGGGTAAAATATTGGGCAAATACTTTCAGAAAAGAAAGAGAAAAGAGCTAAAATATTGCTTGATGTTCATATTGTGATGTAGATCACATATATATATATATATATATATATATATATATATATATATATATATATATATATATATATATATATATATATATATATATATATATATATATATATATATATATATATATATATATATATATATATATATATATATATATATATATATATATATATATATATATATATATATATATATATATATATATATATATATATATATATATATATATATATATATATATATATATATATATATATATATATATATATATATATATATATATATATATATATATATATATATATATATATATATATATATATATATATATATATATATATATATATATATATATATATATATATATATATATATATATATATATATATATATATATATATATATATATATATATATATATATATATATATATATATATATATATATATATATATATATATATATAAATTTAATGTGAAAGTGAAGAGTGAAGTAACAATTGCTACAATAATTCAACGACAATTGCTGCAACAATTTGAAAGTGAAAATGACAATTGATAAAATAAAGTTTCGTCTGTTCAAAAGGAAAATGTGCAGTGAAAAGAAAGAGCAGGCTCTTGCTTTTGTAATGTTCAATCACATCCTATTGATAGCCCTCTGCCAAGTTTCTTGTACTAGCCCTGCTACAACAATACATTACAGCTCACTTGACAGTTTTCTCCATCCCTCATCAATATTACAAAACACACACACATAAAATAATTCAACGACACTTGCTGCAAATTTAAAAGTGACATGACAATTGATACAATAAAGTAAAAATGACAATTGATTCAAGGACAAATGCTGCAACAATTTGAAAGTGACATTACAATTATTACAATAAACTTAAGGTAACAGTTACTACAATAATACAACAACAGTTACTACAATAATTTGAAAGTAGAAATTACATAAACGAAATTACATAATCTAAATGATAGAAGGAGCTACAATGGATTCATGAGCCAAATACAATTTCCATTAGTCGGCGCTTGAGCTCCTCTTCGTCTGCAGATAAATGAGATTTTGCCAACAATGTATTAAGTGTTCGTTGATGCATTTTTATTTTCCCGCCATGTATCTTTTCACGCTCCAATTCCATTTTAGCATTAGACACATTCTTCATTAACTCCGCTTCATTGTCCCTAGAGAGTCTCAATGCACGAAGTTCTGCAGTAAATTCATTAGCAAAATCAGATTGGGAAATTTTACCTTTTCCTTTCTTCTTTGCCTTATCTCTGCCAATAGGACGGGAAATATTAGAATTTCCAGTAGATGGAGTTTCTGCACTGGAAGGCATCGAATGCTCCACATCTTCAGAAGTCTTTGATCTTTTGGAGCTTCCACGGCTTTCTTCACAATCACATTCTTCATTTTCAGGACGAAAACGTGTTCTATCATGGTCTGATGTTAACGCCCACTTTGGATGTTTACACATAACTCCATTGAACACGGTCAAGTCCATAAACTTGTTACCGCCTGCTTCGTAAATTGTTTGAGCTTCCTTTTCAACATCATTCTCGTTCATTCCGCTCCTTCTCCGAGAACATGATTCCTGGTAAGCAGCCACCCATTTGTTTGTGTTTTCATTCAGTCGTTTCCAACGACCTTTCAGTGATTGGATGTTTCTTTCACTTAGCTCATCTGGCTTTTCTGCTTGATGTTCATGATATAGTTTATGGACACGTGCCCATAGCGCGCCTCCCTTTTGATTTCTGTCGCGTATGTTATCTTCGCTAACGAAGATCCATGATGACATAAGTGCGATATCTTCTTTGACACACCAATTATTTTTTGCCACCTTGGTGCGTTGAGTTTCTTCAAACAAATTACGGGATAGATTTTGAGATACTGGAGCATTTTGAGAGGTAGGAATTTGGAGAAAATTGAGAATTTCCATAATATGGAAAATTAGAAAATTGTTTGGAATTTTGATTTGGATTTAGGTTTGGATAATTTTGGGAGTTGAAAAAATAATTGGGGTAATTTGGATCCATTAAGCTCAAATAACTTGAAATATGCTAGAAAGAGAAAATATGTGAAGATTAAGAAAGGCAAAATTACAAAAATGATACACTAAGTTGGGCGTTGTCAACAAAAGAGACAATTTGTTGTCCCTCATGGAAAAGATACACTTAGTTGGCTTTTTGCACGAAAAAGATACAAATTTACAAAAATGATACACTAAGTCGGGCATAAGAAATCCAAAGTCAGGCATAAAAGATACACTTAGTGTATCGTTTTTGTAAATTTGTATCTTTTTCGTGCAAAAAGCCAATTAAGTGTATCTTTTCCGTAAGGGACAACAAATTGTCTCTTTTGTTGACAACGCCCAATTTAGTGTATCATTTTTGTAATTTTGCCGATTAAGAAAGGTTGAGTTTGTTTGTAAAACTATGTCAAAATTAGGCTCTATTAGAGAAAAAAAAATTATGAATTTTGATATAATTTTTATTTATTTTTAATACAAAAATATTTATAATATTATCCATTAAAATTTACAATTAAAAAAGAAATAAACATCCATTCATACTTTGACAAGTGTCACATTGGAGATGAATGATCTTGGGGGCGGCAGAACGAGCAGCTCGTTCATGAGGCAAAGAAATTTTTTTTTTTTTAATATTTTCCTATCTACTTTTTCTGCACAATCCCTGCCAATCCCATTGTTGGAGTCATGGTAGTGGATGGTCTAAGTTCGCTCATTCATTCTTTTATTTTTCTCATTTTTGTCTTTGTATTACATATGTTTGGATACTATTCCAACATCCATTGGATTGCAAGCCCAACATGTGTGACGTGTAGTCATAAATTTTAAATTTTAATCAAAATCAAATAGGAAAATTGATTTTTAATTTTTTATTATTTCCATACTGCATAGTAAAAAATTGAAACAAAAAATAAAATGAAAATTTGATTTAAAAATTAATACAAATTACAAACCTGTAAAAATTACAAACCTGTAGTTGTAGGTTGTATCGGAAATAGTATTGTTTATGGTAAATTATTGATTATTAAATTTTTATTTTTTAACAAAAATCATAACACACTATAAAATTAACAAAAGAAATATTATATATTATACATATAAAATAAATAAAAAATTATATAATATTTAAAGCGGTTCGACCACTGGTCCGACCAGTGAACCATTATTCTCAGCTCTTAGCTTCAAGAAATTATAGATAAACATCGAATTAGCGCTAAACAACTCCTTTAAGTTTTTTGTTTCCAGAAATTACCACACGTAAATTAGCAAGCAAATAATAGAAAAAAAAAAAAAGAATCAGAAGCATTGAAAAATGGAAAACGGCCCATCACTTTTTCCTACCTTCAAATCCACATTTTCACCGCAAATAATGACACACCTTGCTAGGTATATCAAGGTCTTTGTGTAATACAATCCCTCAAAAAAGTGCGTGAGGTGAGTTTTTCTTTAAGTGGGACGTGTGTCCTATTTCTATTGAATAATGAATTTTATATATCATATTATATAAATTAAATTATCATTGTTATTTTATATTAAAAAATAAAAATAAAAATACCAAAATTCATAATTTTTCATTCTCTACAAATAGAGACCACATTTGATAGGTTTTAGAACACAATTAATTTATCACTTTTTACAATTAATTTATCTTATTGGAAGATGAAGACGCAAATCCATAATAAGATGAACATGTTACATAGTAAGATGAACATGTTATAAAATAAGATGAATATGTTACAAAATGAGGTGAACATGTTATATAATAAGATGAATATTAATACAAGTTTAACGCCCTGACCGGCTGGAACCTGCTTTGAGCTCGCCTTCCTCGCTGGTAGAACGCCAAACCTACACAAAACTCTCACACCGGTGGGTTTTTTCGGTGAAGAGACTCCAACGCTCAAGTCAGCCTTCAGAAGATGAAGAATATAAGCGAAAAGTCTGCAAATGTATGAGAAATTGTGTGTAAAACGAGAGATTTCACCCTTATTTATAGGGGTGAATTACTTGCCCTAGGCGCTGCCCGAACGAGCTGAGCTGGCTGCCCCAACTGCCCGGTCGTACGATCGCCTGCCTCCACTACATTGGTGTCAGGAATGTGTCAGATTGCGTCAGGGGATGTCAGAGACCGTTATCGCTGTAGACCAACCCGTACGCGCCGCGTGTTCTCTGCACACGTGCTGAAGGTTCTTTTGGATATTCTGATGTTCGACCAGGTCTGGAACGATTGCTAAGCTGTCTCTAGTGTAGAGAGTGGTCGATCTCACGACCATCAATATTCGACCAATTGGCTCTTCGACCAGGGCTCAGTGAAGCAGGTACCTTCCTACCGATCCTAGATCCACGCAGCCTTAATTTCTAATCCTCATCGCCCGACGACTATCCTGCTTGACCGGCCCGATAAATCCCTTTTACTCGGTTGACCCGGTGAATGAGTCTAATGTGTATAATATCCCATATCAATATCAAATAAGATGAACATGTTATGGAATAAGATGAACATGTTATGTTATAAAATGAATATGTTTTATTATCAGCTGAATATGTTAAATTATAAGATGAACATTTAAAATTTCGTAATAAATAGTGAGAATTAAAATATCATGAAATAACTAGTATTTTTTTTTTTAAGAATAAAAACATGAAATATCATGAAATAGGCGCGTGTACTTCAGGATAACAAATATTTTCAAATTTCACTTTTATTAGCCTTGGCCCGCGCGTGAATTTCTGCCCTGACACACCTAGCACGGTGTGCCAGGGCACACAGTAGCGGTACTGGGAGAGGAGGGCCAAGTGAGACTCAAATTGTAGAATATTGTCCAACGTGGACTTTTGAGAATAAAGAAATAATTAATCTATTTACGGACTTATTATCTCAAGTTTGAAAAAAAAATGTATTGATTTGGGGTTGCATTATGCAGAAAAAGTAAAGAATGTAATACGGTAGAGCTGTAAACGAACCGAACGTTCGCGAACAAAAGCTCGTTTGAGCTCGTTCGTGTTCGACAAAAGCTCGTTCGTTTGTTAATCGAGCCGAGTTCGAACAGAAAATTAGGCTCGTTTAATAATCGAACGAACACGAGCTCGTTCGTGAACGTTCGATTATGTTCACGAAACATTAATTTAATATAATTTTATTTTATTTTTTATATATTTACATAATATTTTTAATAAAATATCTAAGGTGTAATATAATTTTATTTTTTTTATATATTTACATAATTTTTTAATAAAAAATCTAAAATATAAACATACTTTTATTTTATTTTATTCTTTTATTTTCGAGGTCGAACGAGTTCGAATAAACAAATTTCGAGTTAATCAAACATATTTAAAAAGTTTATGTATTAAATTATTCGAACACGAACGAACTCGAACTTTGACGAACGAACTCGAAAACGATTTTGTACTCGAAAAATAAATGAACGAATACAAATACTGTTCGAACGTAAACGAATACGAGCTCGAATAGCCTAAGCTCGATTCGGTTCGATTAGGTTCGTTTACAGAAAGAAATTGTAGGCGGACAATAGAAAGAATAAATTTTATTTATGTACAGCCCGTGAAGCAAGGCGTACAATCACCACTCCATAGAAAATATCAACCTCTGGTTCACCCCTTCAGGTGACCAAACTCGAATGGAGGAACCGAAATGGAACGATCACCACAACGACGAAGAGGAATTTCAAGATGCGCTCGACGATTTCGACCGAAAGGGTTGTCACGACGCGCTCGACGATTTCACGTTCTATGATGCGTTTGAAGCTTTCTCCGAAACGATACAACCCCAAGTGTCGATCCAATCTGAAAACCCTAATCCATCTCCGGCGGATAAAGACCTGCCCCGTCTGGATATACGCCGTCGGCGGTCACATTCACGTCAGGATTCCCCCGGCGACGACTCGACGGAGCCGTCAACGCTTAGCTCGCCCGTAAATTCTGATATTTATCTGAGAGAGAGAAAATGGAGGAATTCGCCAAAAAGTGAGGAAAGCGCGAGTGAATTGGGAAATTCCGATCCATTAGAAACCAGATTCAGATCAAATTCACCGGAAAGCACCGTAATTGAGGAGAAGGGCGAGACAAGTGAGCAACCTTCTACTGTAACAAATGCAACTGCCCCTGCCAACACGCGTGAGGATTTAGCAAGGAATGGCTCGAGCTTGCGAGAGCACGAAGAAGAAGCTGCACATTCGAGTCTTTTATTGACTCTAGCTGGTATAGTAATCAAGTCCATTAGCTTCCAAATTCTTTTGTCCGTAAAAGTAATTACGTTCCCCATACATTCGTTGTATTACCTGTACATGCTTGCTTACGATCCGTTCGGGTTTTCGAGGAGCTGCAGAGAGTATTTATTTGGGAAAATTAATTCCATTTGGAGTTCTGTGTACCAACTTGCTACAGAGTTCATCAACGAATGGTTTAAAGAACACCAGTCGATTTGGAAACTCGTATTGAAATGCCTGTGGGGATTAATGTGGTCTTGTTATGCGTGTGCCGTTTTAGTGGGATTGTTGTTTTCGGCTTTTGTGACGAGTGGAATATTAATAAAGGTGGTGGTGGAGGAGCCTACTAGAATACAGAGGAGTTTGAATTTTGATTATAAGGAGAAAAGCCCGGTGGCATATGTACCGATAGTAACAGGCTCGGAGTTCATTCACGACATATATCTTGGGGAGAATCGTGAACTTGGGAAAGGTGGTGGATCAAGAATTATACCACCTTATCACAAATTGAAGGTTACTGTTTCATTGACTTTGCCCGAGTCTGAGTACAACCAAAATCTCGGGGTATTTCAGGTATTTGTTGGTTTGTTTTGGATTGTTTCGGTTGCCACAATATATTTATACATGTTCTTAGTTTTTCTCCGAGAGTATTATTGAATGCACACTTCCTTTTGTCATGGGTTCTTTCATGTGCATCGAAAGTTAGGTTCTTTTCTTGTGTGTTTTGGTAGAGTCTTGCCACATAAGATGAGACTTAGGATGCTGACACTGGGATGTTGTGGAATGTAATCCATTATTATGCAAGTTTTTCCAAACACTTATAAATAAAATATGACGGATTCTAGACAGGAAGATACCACCGACTTTCCATTGGGAAATTTGGAAAAATACCACCTTTTCTCTGTGTTGTAAAAAAAGTACGACTAAAATGATGACTGTTGAGTGTTGACGACTGATATTAAGACCAGATATGGTATTTTTGTAGAGAATAAGTTAAAAGATGGTATTCTTTCCAAATTCCCCTTTTCCTTGAATTTGAAAATAATGTTGCCATTGAGGCTTCACAACGACATCCGAACGAGTCCTTGTAAATTTGATTAATAAGTTTCTCTTTAAAAGATTTATAATCTATTATTTTATTTTTATTTTTATTTTTATTTTACTTTCTTGAAGATCAGAGTGGATTTCCTTGCTGCTGATGGCCAAATTCTCGCAACCTCGAGGCGCCCGTGCATGCTTCAGTTCAGAAGTCCACCAATCCGACTTCTGCTGACTCTTCTTAAGCTTGCCCCAATCTTAACTGGCTACACATCTGAAACCCAGAATATAAACATACATTTCAGAGGCTTCACGGAAGGCCTAAAGCCAACCGCCAACTTAAGAGTGGTGATCGAGCAGCGAGCCGAGTTCTCTCCTGGTGGTGGCATTCCCGAAATATACAGCGCGCATTTGACCCTAGAATCCGAGCTTCCTCTAGTGAAAAGGGTGTTATGGTTTTGGAAAAAGACATTGTTCGTGTGGATTAGCATGGTTATCTTTACAGTGGAGCTGTTTCTTGCCCTACTTTGTTGCAGGCCGATTGTGATCCCGAGAATTTGCCAGACACGAGCCGCCTCTAATAGAAACACAAATTAAAGCAGTTGTTCACTCAAATCTTTGTTCATACCTTTTATCTTGGGATTAATTGTTATTTTTTCTTTATCTTATACAGAAGAGGTTATTTTTTACAACCTTGGTCTTCTAACTCATGTTGTATGTAAGTTTTGATGCTGAAGAAGTAAAGCATATTTTCTTGTTCTTTTATGTATATATTCTCATCTCACATATGGTGTTCTTTTATGCTGAAGAAGTTGCCTTGAGCTAAAAAAGGTGGATTTGAGTTGAGTACAATGGATTTTTCCTTTTGATTTATGAACCAATCTTGGACCTGTACAAGGTTGTAGATTTATTTGACATGGGACCAATGTTTGGGCTCATATATAGGGTTTTAGGGTATTTTTCACTGTACTGGTGTGAATAGAGGTTCTGGACCGTTTGATCAACACACATATACGGTTATGTGTGTTGTTTGTTGTTAATGAACTGAACATTCACGATCAAAAGTTCGTTTGCATTCGACAAAAAGCTCCTTCATTTGTTAATAGAGTCAAATTCAAATAAATACTAGGCCCGTTTGATGGTCCAACAAACACGAACTCACGTGTTCGTTTAACGTTCGATAATGTTTGTGAACATTAATTTAATATATTTTTTTATATATTTATATATGTATGATTTTTTTAATAAAAAAATATAAAGAGAATATTTTTTCTTTCGAGCTCGAATGGTTTCAAACGGACAAATTTCGTGTTAATCAAATAATCTCAAAACTTGTTTACTAAGTTATTCAGAAACGAACGAACTCGACTTTAGGTCATCTCCAGCCCTTATCTCTACTCTAGCGCGGACTTTACTCTACTCTAGAGTAGAGTTGAACATTCATCTCCAGCCCTTATCTCTACATTTTACTCTATTAAATATATTATTTTTTTATTCATTTTAAAAATAAATTGTAATAAATTGAATTTCTTAAAGAAGATACATATACATCTATGTACCGATTCAAAACTGTTACTTTTGAAAATATATGAATTAGTGCAAATTTACACACTAGACCATATATGGTTTAGAGCATAAAAAAACAAAAAAAAAAGGGAAAAATCTGGCGCTGCGCTACAGTGTTGCGCTACAATTGGCGCAGCACTGTTCCCATATCTGATGTAGCGCAAGATTTCAGCGCAGGGTTGGAGCAGATATTTTACGCAAGATTTCACCGCAGGGTTGGAGCAGATATTTGACACAACTCTAGTGTTTTGCGCTAGAATATTGCAGCGTTGGAGGTGGTCTTAATAAACAATTAGATACAAAAAAATTCAGCAAAAGATCTTTGTTTCCTTGAATACTAATGAGAACAATGTTCGAATACAAACTCAAAATGATCAAGTTTAGCTCATTCGGTTCGATTACAACACTAATTGTGTGTTCACAATCGCAATTATAATCCCACGGCTCAAAATCCAGTGCAATCACCTATAAGTTGAATTAGCCAATCTTTTACTTTTTAGATCAAGCTCAAAACGAACGATGCAACCCCGCCAAAATGCATTTGAATTGGCCATAATAAGTAAAAAAAGTAAAAACAGTTCAAACCAACACCTTCCCATTCAATTTCCCTTTTTTCCATTTTTAACCACCTACTTTATTCAATTTTCTTTTCTTCCCGTTCCCTTTAGCTTCGGTTCCAAACCAAAACATAAAATCGACCGTTGTTGCCCGAGCCTAGTTTTTCGAAAACCTATTTCTCTTGCCCACCACCCCCAAATATCGCCCAACCCTCTCTGACTCTCTCTCTCCCTCTCTCATTCGCCAATCCTTTTCTTCAATCCAGACAACAAAAAAATGGTGTCCAAGATAGTGAAGAGAACCCCCACAAAATCCCTCAGAAACCGGAACAAAATCCACGGCCGCCGCCGTAAATCTCCGGCCAAGAGCCCCACCGCCGCCGTGGTCGCCTCCATCAACCGCTCCATCCACACCTGCCGCCGCCGCCTNAAAGTCGAGTTCTTTGTCCTGAAACGGCCCTTCGTCGACGAATTCCTGAGCTTCCTCAGCCGATCATCCTTCGAAATTGTGATATTCACAGCTGGCATCGAGGAGTACGCTTCTCTCGTAATCGACAGGCTGGACCCCAAGGGCTTGATCTCTTACAGGCTGTACAGGGACTCATGCCGGGAAATAGACGGGAGGTTCGTAAAAGATCTTGAAAGTGTCGGGAGGGAACTTGACCGAGCAGTGATCGTGGACGATAATCCGTGTTCTTATCAGCTGCAGCCGAGTAATGCAGTTCCGGTCAGGCCATTTACGGATGATCTTGGAGATGAGGAGCTGAAGGGGCTGATGGGGTTTTTCGGGGGGTTTTTTGATTCGGCTGAGGATGTGAGGGATGCTGTGAGGGATTATTTGGATGATTTGAATGTTGTGGGGGAGAAGTTTATATATAGTGTGTGATTGTGAATGTGCAAGTGGAAGTGAAAGTTCTCCCTTTTTTTTTTAGTTTTAGTGGTGTTTTGATTTGATGATTGAGGTTTGCTTTTGTGTGACTAAAGATTGAACAGATTTTTGTTCAATACAGGAAAATATGGGATATTAATTGTTTAGGGTGTGCTGATAGAGTGAATTTAATTGGAATAAAATGGTTTTTGATTTGGATTGTTATGGATTTTTCAGTGTCTTTTTTGTTTGACTGGATTGATAGTTAATGTGAGTTTGTTGGAGGAATGAAAGGTTTTTAAGGTTTAAGTACTGGCCATTGCTAGGGATTTTGAGAGGTTTGAATTGGGACTTAAAAATTTGGGATTGCCTTGATTATATTAGGGTGAGTTTTTATGCTTTATTTTATACAAATAGGAAGGGAATAAATTTGAAGGAAAAGAACTGTGTTGTGATTATTCTGTTGTAATTGTGGAATGAGGTGAAAATTGAGATGTTACTGTAAACTTCAGCATGTTATTGTCAAATTGAGTAGTGTTGTTTGAAAATTCAGCATGTTCTTGTTTTTATCTTCTTCCTAGTTACTGATAAAATAAATTGATTGCAAAAAGTTCAAAATAAGTGGGTGGCCCATGCAGGTCTCGAACCTGCGACCTTCGCGTTATTAGCACGACGCTCTAACCAACTGAGCTAATAGGCCATTTGCCAGATCATTCGACTAAAATCAATTGGACTGTTTAATAATCAGTTGCATTTTCACTGTTCTGTATATTTGGAGATCTCAATTTTCTCATTGGCCCGTAAGCAGATGCACGCAATTATTTATTTATTTTCTGCACAAGTATGCACCAACTTGTAACTAAATGAGATATTTCATGCAAACAAAATTACAAATATGGAGCTAGTTAGTTACACTAACTCGTGAAAATCTTAATAAGGTTAATCTTTTTTTAGGATGGAATCTAATTAATCTTGACATGATTTCAGATCTTCTTAATGCTCCAACAAGCAAACTAAATCCAATTGAGACTAAAAAAGCAGATCTACAGTGCATAATCTGATAATCATACTTGCTGGTTGCTTCCAAATGAGGATAAAATGCAAACATTCTGCAATATGTAGATGACACTCAGGATTCACAGCTCAAACCATTCTGCTCAATTTAGTTTCAAAACATGTCTGAACAAGGTAAAATGCAAAATCCTCTCCATCTTTAAAAGAATGTAACAGAAACAAATGAACTAACAGACTAATCTTCTAATAATCAAAACATCTCATGGTTTTGCTTCAATTTCCTCAAGAACCAAAAGTTTGCTATTTGGGGACCCCTTCATGTATGGCAACTTTTAATCTCACAAGAGCTGTATTACAAAAAATTTTCAACCTAAAACTTCTTGACATTGTCATCTAAAACTAGTGTATATCCCGTGCGATGTACGTAGAAGCTCATATTTTAAATTTTAAACTTTTTTTAGGCTTTATTTTAAATATAATTACTTATATTTTTCACATATCGTCTATTATGAAAATAAAATAAATACAAACAATGAAAATATATATTATTAAACACTTCTCTTTATACAATTTTTTTTTTTAAGTAATACTATTAAACCTTACGGTTTTGATTTTATATTTTTTAAAAGTCAATTATCTCCATAAGAATAATCATACCATTTTAATTTAAAAAAAATTGACAAATTTGTTAGAGAGATAAATCCAATTAGATAAATGATTAATTAGTTATGATATTATATTAATTGTATCATAAAAAATCGGTTAGATAATGTAGATAAAAATAATATAATATTAATTAGTTTGTTAGGAATGTGATTATATGAAAATCAAGATAAAATAAAATTTACCCAAAAATTTTTGTTTAGGATCTTTTTTTTTAAATGTTTGAATTTAAAAATTTAATACCGAATTTCGATTGTATCACATAAGAAAAAAATAAATAATAAACATTTATTAATATATTAAAACATGTAATTTTGAATTTCATATAAAGTAAAAGGTATATAATTCAATTTATTTTTAAAATAAAAGCTATGATAAACATTTATTTGTTATCTATATAAAATTTTTGTTTTTTATTATTCTAATGATTTATACATTAAAGTGAACTTAGGTACGGTATGATTTAATTCATTTGAGGTTGTATCTACCGCATTCCATCCGCATAAACATGTTATAGAAGGATTAACTCAAAAATTTAATTTGACAAAATAAATTACAAATTCATTTCTTGTTTTAACGGATAGATTATCTCCAAATAANATCGGTTAAAAAAAAAAAAAGTCAAATATATTGCTAAAATAAAAATCTGTTTTCCCAAATGAAAAGAATCTTGAATTTATCTGATATGAAAGGAACCTCATCCAATATGAAACGTATATTTGTCACGGAGTGCGCTAATTGTAGTACGAACTAAAATTAGAATTATAAAATGCGGAAGCAAACAACCGAAGATTAATAAACTCTTCAGGGAAGCATCCCACTTCCCCTCAGAGCTCTTTCATTGATAGATCACTCATGAACATAGTTTGGACTTACAAAGACTTGAACTCCCTTCAAATCTAGCCAACACTACTTGATCCTATCAACTAATTCTCCGGCCACATCCCGTGGACTTATAATGCCTACACTTACTCCCTAAGTGTATAAATCGTAAAAATAGTTTTGATGGAATGTTTAAAAACTGAACAGGAACAACTTCAGTCCTTGAGTTTGTAAGAACTCTCAGACTGAACTGAATACAACTAAAAATGGAACCGAAAGAAACAAAGCTTGGATTGCTCTAAAATATTTCTATCTCAAAAATCCACGCACGCCAAAAGCTTCTTCTAGGGTATTTATACGAACTCCTTAGGGTTGGAGTCTTCTACAAGGCATAGGTCTTCAAACAAGATTTCCTTCCAAAAAGATAACATATCTTTGGTAAGTGAATCTTCTATTCTCTCTCTTTGATCTCCTCTCCAAGCATGCCTCTTCTCTCCCTCTTCTTTATCTCTTCACGTGCGATTTCCTATATTATCCAAAACCATAATAAGATCTACACATACTCATACATGGAATATAAAATAAAATTACTTAAGGAAATATAATATGTAGAGATCTCCCCTTTATTCTGTGGTTCCAGGTGCTTGTTCGAACTAACGAACTAATGCCAAAATAAAATATCTTTCACAATACATATTGAACTCATCCAAATTATAGAATTTCAGAATGAAAAAAATTCAAACTTCCAAAAAAATTTCAAAAAAAATATTAGGGGGAAAAAAATGATTTGAGCGGTAAAATGAAATAATTTTTCAAACATTTTTTTCTTCTCTATATTATATAGTAATAAATTTAATAAAATCAAATTATTATAACACACACATCCCTTGAACACAAAAAGGAAATAACAGAAAATTTCTATAACCTTTTCTCCAAGTAAATAATCAAAAATCTCTATTCAAAACAGATGGGAGGAGAAAAAACAAAAACATCAGTAGTAAAAANTCAAGCTCTGCAATAATCCCACCATTTCCGCTCCTCGGCCCACCCTCTCCACCACCTCCGGTCCGCCATTTTTACACATCTCAAGCAATGCCGCCACCGCATTTTCCTTCCCTTTCGGAGTCCCCCACTTCATCATCCCCACCAACCCCTCCACCACCTCCTCCTCCTCCTCCGCCACCACCGCCTCCGGCAGCCGCCTCACGATCAACGCTAGTGCCCCTGCCGCCTCCTCTGCCGCCTCCTCCACCACCAAGGCCCGAATAAGGGCCCGAACCACCCCAAACCCGACCAACAACCCGCAACTCTCACCATCTGTCGACAGATTAAAAATCGCCGTCGCCGCATCTCTCCTCCCGCGCGGCGTCCCGGCCACGAGCAATCGGGCCAAGGCCCGAACTGCCTTTTCCTCACGAGCGATAACCTTCTTGAACTCGTGAACCGACGAGAGACTAAAAAGAACCGCAGCCGCGTTCTCACGGGCCTCGACCGTGAGCCCGTTTATCAACACTCCGATAATCGAGCCCAAGCACCCGTTTAAGCCCATTATAACCGATTTGTTCGTGTCGAGTATCGAGAGGTTTAGTAAAGCGGTGATCGAATTCTCTTGTGCGGACGTGTCTTCTGACGAGAGGAGTTTTTCAAGGAGAGGGATTGCGCCGGCCTCGGCAATGCAGGCTCGGTTTTGCTTCCCGGTTTTCGCGAGGAACCGGATTTCCATGGCGGCTAGTGATTGGGCCCGTGGGAGCCCGTTTACGAGATGATAGACGAGGAGATTGGCTGTGGCTTTAGTGGCTTCGACTTGGGCCTTGCTCGGTAAGCCCGCCGAGTAGTGGTTGTTGTTTTCCGGGAAGTAGTCGGAGTTTTCGGGGGGTTCGTATGGGATTCCGTTGGCCGAACACCAATGCGCGATCAAATTACGCAAGGCACGATTTGGGATGAGCTTTGTGTGGAGGAGGATTTGCCCGGTTTTCGGACAAGTGGAGTGCCTTTCTTGCATCCATCGAGAAATCGACGAGCGTTCGTACGTGTGGCCTGTCGAGATTAAAACCGGATCACGCATCAAATCCCACGATATGGGACAACAAAAGTCCTTCGGGATAGTTAGAAACATTTCGGCAAGTTCTTCTTGTGTGAGCATTCCTTTCTTGGCATTTTTCTTTTGGGCATATCTTTCGAAATCGAGCTCATCATCGAATCCGAACAGCAAGAACCTGCAATAGCGGAGCAATGCCACGAAACCGTTGAGAATTGAGGCCGTGGGCTCGATATCCCCATCGTGATTCGCAATATGTTCTTCGAGAAACTCGATCTCAAATCGGCAACTTTTGACGTCGAGAATCCTTAGCTTCTCTATGAAAAAATCGCCCAATGCGTTCTTCTTGGGGATTTTCCCGTTTTCAAATTGTGATAAGAAGTGATACAGTTTGAACCTCAATAGATCGTCATGACTATCGACGAACAATTTCGAGTTTCTTGATTGTTTGCCTAGCAACTCGACTTGCTCCTTAACCTCTTCTGGTAGATTAAGTTCACCTAACGGGAAAACATCCAAAAGGGTCGAAATTTCTTGGTTCAGATCATGGAAATGACCGGAGATCGAGTGGTTCTGCAGCAACAGCCAGAGTTTGCTCGACCCCTTCACAAAATCGATCAGAATTTTACACCTGTAAAGATGGAGGTACAACTCCTTGAAGCACAGGAACACAGCCGGAGCTGGAGATGGAGCTTTTTCCGACAAGCCCAGATCAAGAGAAGCATCCAAGAGGACGGATATAACCTTGATTTTCCGAATCAGAGATCTCGAGTTCTTTACCTGGAAAAACGGCGTCGTTTTACTGTCGCCGGAAAAAGACGACACCAGCTCCGCAGCGACAGCCTTCAAAACCTCCAGAATCTCCGCGTCGGAGACGTTCACCGGCGCCAGAAACGCCTCGAGCGACGGTGAACTCCGCCGCCTCATCGACGAAAATATAGCGGCGGACGCCATTATTTAGATTTTCCGACAACCAGAGGAGAAATCCAGGACGAAAAAAAAACACACACACAGAATTCTCTACACACACACGGCACTGCAGCTGCACATTCGACTTACACTTGAAAAAT